CACACACACATATATATATATATACACACACATATAATTTATATATAATACACATACGCACACACACACTAAACACACACCCGATGAATAACTTACCGTCAATTCCAATTTCATGTCCAATTTCTCTCCATTGTCTTACAGACTCAAGAAAACACTTTAGCTTGATCACTTTTGACTGACCGCGTTAAAAAATTCTAGCTAGATCTAGCTAGATCTAGAATCTAGATCTAGATCTAGCTCATTAAAATAATTTACATACGCCCACGAAACTTTACAAGGCACTTTCGCAGGCCAGAGACCAAACAACTATCTTTCTACTTTCTTATAAATTCTGATCCAGTGGATCTAATGAAAAATTGTTTCTCTTTCAAGTCCTTTGAAACCGCTCTTTGGATGCATACACTGGATCACTGAAATAAATAACTTCCTGTAACTTGTAACTTTGCCTACAAATTGCTCATTTTGAGACAGCGACACCACCCTGCCCCCACATTTCAGTGTAAGCTTGTAGATTTGACCCCCTCGCTGTCTAGACGTCTCCACGTGAGTCTCGAAAAGTACTCACCCCGTCTCTTGAATCGCGTCATTTTGGCGTCGTTTGTCTTGAGTGTGGTGTTAACCCTATCCGTACGTCGTGTATTACTACCGTAACCATACGACGTGGGGAACTTTGTGCCACCACTTAACCCTATCCGTACGTCGTGTTTTACTATCGTATCCATACGACGTGGGGAACTCTGTGCCACCACTTTCAAAGAGGAAATTTACTCGTTAATCCGATCCGTACGCTTTGCATAGCAGTCTGTCAAAATTGTTTTTTGAGAAATACTGAAAGTTTCAAAGAGATTTTCATACTAGAAGTATTCTAAAATGTGAAGAATACAACCCCGGGGGTACAAAGTGACCCCTGGGCGTACGGATAGGGTTAAGGAAAATGTGTCAACTTTTTAAAAGATCTGTTGGTGTATGCTCTAAATCCCCTATTATTTGCTGAGGTGTTTTTTAAAACCCGCTTTAGGCTTACATCAAAGAAAACGTAGGGGAACCGTAGTTTGAAGTGACGATTATGAACAGGCTTTTAGTTTTAGATTGTGTAGGTCATCCAAATTTTAGAGTGGGTGGAGGGGGCTCTCGTGGCCTTGAGGTTAAGGTGTTGGCCTCTCATTCAAAGGTCCCGGGTTCGAATCCGGGTAGCGACCAAAAAAATTTTCTTCTCTAAAATTGTCTCCTTTCACCTCCTTTCCTGCTCTCTAGCAATGTTCTGTTGTCTGCTTTCATTTCCACTTTCTGCCCCCATCCCCTCACCTCCTTTGCCCGCTCCTCTGGGCTCCTGACTCTTTCTGCAGCCTTTCTACTGCTACTCCTTGGCTCCTCCTTACTGCTGTCTTTCTGCCACACCCCTGATCTTCTGGTAGGAAAGATCTACACCTAGCCTTCTCGGACAAGGGCGAAAAATCTCGGAGGGCCCGTGTGCAAGTTGCGCACGTTAAAGATCCCTTGGTGGTCTAAAATCGACAAGAGTAGGCTTCGGCCGCCACCCGGGCAAAATTCAAAATTTCCTACCAACTGAAAATATTAGGTGTGTCCCGCGCGCTCATATGACCTTTGCAGTTGCGAGCGCCGTAAAACACTTTACAAAACAAAACAAAAAACAAAGAGTGGGTGGTTCGCGGGTACTCTGGTGTGGTCTGCTCCTTCTTTCCTGTCAAATATCTTTTGTCCTCACCTCTCCTCCTCCTCCTTTTTTTGCGTTTGTTACTCTCTTGTAACATCTCTTATCTTCATCGCTTATAGAAATGTCCCCCCTTTTGGGAATACCCTAAAGACACTTCAGTCAGTGGCACCGCCCCAGGCAAAAACTGGAGAGAAAAAAAAGAGCACGGCACAATAGAAAGAACTAGCTGGGCCCCCCTTTCGATGAAAGGAATGATCAGTGCATTAACGTCAGCCGAAAGTCATTGGCTTATGATATTTACATTCTACCGGAATGGAGCAAATCTTGAGAGATGCAAAAATTAGAAGGTTTAGATCTATACTCTCAAAACAGTGCGCACGGTTAGTGAATGGAAACCTCCCTTTCTAAAATGACAGAGACCGAAGCGTCGGCCAACAAAAGCGATCAGCGAAATAAAGGAATTTAGTTTTTAGCAGCAAAACTGTCTCGAAACTGAAGAACCGAAGGGCGTCATGATCTGGAGAATATTTTAAAGAATCTTTTGTCGAAAACCGCATGTCGATCGATGCAGCCATTAAAAAGCCTTTTGAATAGCAAAATTCGGCCACCACAAATAGATAATAGATGCAGGGCGGGACTGCTGTGTTCAGTGCAGGCACAGTTGATGTGAGTGCTCACTTAATGACTTATGTACTTCTCGTCAATGGAAATAGAATTAGATCATCATCATCATCATCCGGTGCCTTGCCAACTGGCGTGGGCGATCATGGACCTCCACTTCACTCTGTCTTGCGTTGCAGCAATGGTGTCTGTCGTTCTTGCTGCTCCCAGCCATGTTGTCATCTTGTCCAGTGTCTTTTCCCTCTGTCTGCCTCTGCCTCTCTTTCCATCAAACTTGCCGGTTGTTACAATATTCTCCAATGCTTCTTTCCGCATTGTGTGTCCGAAGAAATTTGCCTGTCGCTTTCTTATATTCGTCATAAGAGATTCATCACGCTTATAGGGGAAATTTTTACGCTTTATATAAGTGTATGAAATGATAAAAGGTATGCTATACTTAAAGTATATGGTATCAATTGAAAATCTTAAAATGGGGCCCTAGTGTCCATTTTTGGCCAACATCTTCATTTATGGATTGTGAGAAGTACATTTGTAACTCGCTTTGTCAGCACGCCTCACATTTGTTTTTTCTGTCCTCGTGGTTTTATGCACCCCGCATAACTTAGCAAAATTTGATCATTTTGTGCATAATTTCTGATTATTTTCCTTTATCGTTCTTTGTGAAAATTAACAGAATCGCATAATTTCACATTTTGTGGGCTCATTTTGCATAATTTCAGAATTTCTCTTGAATAAAACGACGAGGACAGTTTGGTGGGGGCTGGGGGGGGGGAGCAGACTCGGCATTTCGAGGGGGCAGCAAGTCTCTCCATCTCCCTTCTGAAACTCTAGAACTGTTTCTTTTTCTTTTTTCTTTTTTTACTCGCTGGTGCAATTTGCTCGATGGAAGGTGGATAGAGGGTTATTTATAAAACTCTGTGCCTTCTTTTTATTTAATTTACAATGTTCCTACCAAAAAAAAACACATTTTGATGTTTCCATAGGTGTTCCTATTTTAACATGTACGTTTCTGTTGTTAAAGTAATCATAATGTAACATTATAAGTACCCACTTTCAGTATTCTATAACGAGTACTGTAATGGTTAGTATGTCGGTATCGTAGAGAGCAAGAAATGGGTAACAGGGAAAGATCAGGGAAATATGGCTTTTTTTAGAGCATCCGAGCAAAGAAATGAGTGGAGAACCATGATCGCCGATGTCTGTCGCAGATCTGATGAAAACGGTATAGGTTTAACGCCCCTATCAACATTATTAGGTTATTTAAGGGGGGGGGGGGTACTGGATGACGATGATGAGAGAGCAAGAAAAGAGCAACACACATATAGCAGCATATAGAACAAAGAGATGTCTAGCCTAGGGCAGCACGAGTCACTATCATGTAAAGTTTAAGTCTTATATTAAACTCTGGAACACAATCCGAGAAGTTGTTTCATTTATTAATGTTTAATGTTGTTGGTGTTCTTGGACTATTCGCAAGTAGTTTTTTTGTTGTTTTATTTATTTTTTTAGTAGAGGGTTTTACAGCGCTCGCAACTGCATAAGGTCATATGAGAGCCAAGGGGTGGATGTCAACAGACAAGTCCTTACAGGGAATCAGGCTTACTCTTCTCACCTCTCTAGCTTCAACAGCACAAAGTCTGCTTGGACTATACTATCAAGGCACCCCGGAAACAGCAGGTCACAAGAGAGTGACAAACATACAAAAGAAGTAGAAGAAAATGACAATAGTAAGGATTAGGAAAGAAAAAGCAGCAGTTCCCTGTTGCAGATCAGTCGCTCTCCACAACAACTCTCCATTTCCGAATACACAAACACACAAATAAGTCACACCCTTTTCATATAAGAAAAGTTGAAATTTTTCATAGTGCACAGTATTTGATGTTTTATTGCGACAGAGCAAAAAAAACCCCAGTGATCTGAATCACCCTGACTTCAGAAGATCCACCTTCTCAGAAGGCTGCGAGTAGACTTATCAAAAGCAGCATTTACGCCGTCTAATAAATTAATAAGCTCTTCAACCCCACATTTAGCTCCAGGATTCTTAATAAAATCCTATAACTCTTCGACATCCATCACATTTAGCTCAAGCAGTCTCGACAAAATCGTAAAACTCTTCAACTCTGCATTCAGCTCAAAGAGTCCTGCGTACAACTCTTAGACACCAGACTTATTCAAACAGTCTTGAAAATATCATTAAACTCTTCCACACCATACATAACTCAAAGAGTCTCGATAAAATCATCAACTCGATATCTAGCTCAAAGAGTCTAGATAAAATCATCAACTCCACAATATCTAGCTCAAAGAGTCTAGATAAAATCATCAATTCGATATCTAGCTCAAAGAGTCTAGATAAAATCATCAACTCGATATCTAGCTCAAAGAGTCTAGATAAAATCATCAACTCGATATCTAGCTCAAAGAGTCTCGATAAAATCCTCAACTCAATATCTAGCTCAAAGAGTCTCGATAAAATCATCAACTCGATATCTAGCTCAAAGAGTCTAGATAAAATTATCAACTCGATATCTAGCTCAAAGAGTCTCGATAAAATCATCAACTCGATATCTAGCTCAAAGAGTCTAGATAAAATCATCAACTCGATATCTAGCTCAAAGAGTCTTGATAAAATCATCGACTCCACAATATCTAGCTCAAAGAGTCTAGATAAAATCGCAAAACTCTTGCACACCACACTTGGCTTAAAGAGTCTTGATAAAATCATAAAACTCGTTAAACACCACACTTGGCTTAGAGAGTCTTGATAAAACCGTAAAACTCGTATAACACCACAATTACCGTAACTCAAAAAGTCCTGCGTACAGCTCTTAGACACCACACTTAGTTCAAACAGTCTTAAAAACATCACACAACTCTTCAACACCATACATAGCTCAAAGAGTCAAGATAAAATCGTAAACCTCTTGCACACCGCACTTGCCTTAGACAGTCTCGACAAATTCATCAACTCAAGATTGAACTCAAAGAGTGTTGATAAAATCGTAAAATTCTTGCACCCCACTCAAGGAGTCTTGATAAAATCGTAAACACAAGATTGAACTCAAAGAGTGCTGATAAAATCGTAAAACTCTTGAACACTACCCATAGACTCATAGCTTAGAGAGTCTCGATAAAATCGTAAAACTCCACAATATTTAGCTCAAAGAGTCTTGATAAAATCAAAAAACTCTTGCCCCCTCCAAACTTTACTTTACTCAAAGAGTCTTGATGAAATCGTAAAACTCTTCAACACTACCCATAGACTCATAGCTCAAAGAGTCTTGATAAAATCGTAAAACTCTTCAACATTACCCACACACTCATAACTCAAAGAGTCATGATAAAGCCATAAAACTCTTGCACACCACACACTATACTCAAAGAGTCTTGATAAAATCGTAAAACTCTTGCACACCACACCCCACTCAAAGAGTCTTGATAAAATCGTAAAACTCTTGCACACCACACCCCACTCAAAGAGTCTTGATAAAATCGTAAAACTCCTGCACACCACACTTGACGACGTCCGCACAAAACGCGTCGTCCGTGCCGGAAACCAGAGCCTTAAGCGACACGTAGTTCTCCAGGCACGGGTCGTACTGCGCCCTGTGTCGCGCCAGCAGGAACAAGTGGCGTGTTCTGAGCGCGCTCGGACTGTGCGTCAGGGCACCAGGGAAGGTGAGGAGTAGCCGGTGTGGAATGAGCATGGTGTTGTGGAGGTAGTCAAACGTGGACACCAGCTGGCGGTTCTCTGGTGAATAATAATGATAATAATTATAATAATGATGATTATAAAAATAATAATAATGATGATAATAATAATGAAAATGATAATGATAATGATAATAATAATAATGATAATAATGATGATCATAA